GTAATTAATTAAGGAGAAGATGAAGAGAATGGATAACATCAAATAGTTTATTAATATAGAGAAAAAGAATAAATATAAATGATTGATAAATTTTCATACTTTATTAATATAGTAATAAAGTATGAAAATTTGTCTTTATTTTTTAAAATTAAATTAATTAAATTTGTACGTTTAAATCTTTTCTCATATCTACCATTTAGAGGTTTTTTCTTAAAAAAATTAATACATTTAAATTGACTAATTATCAAAAGTATACTCTAAGATGTATATAGTTAATTATTATTATAAAAATTTATAATTAATAAAAATCTAAGAAAAAATACAGATATTTGCACGGCTTGAGGTCTTGTATATACTGTTATTTGATTTATCTTTATTATTGAAGAGATATATTCCCATTTAAAGTATTGGCTTATTATGTAATTCGATTATACTTTGATTTCTTCTTCTTTTTTTTTTTCTTTTTAATAATCATAATGATACCTTAAATATTCGCATATAGGAGAAGAAGCTAACCGACGTCGCTGTGTAGAGGTGACCAAGAAAATTTACAATGGAGATTGGCCAGCTATAAGGGAGTTTATTTATTCTGACATGGGTCGAACATTTCCACCTATTACAGACTTTGTTGAAACTGTTCTTCAAGTTGCAGTCAGGGCCGAGCAAGATGAGATCGCCAAGAAATTGGCAAAGACAATGTCAAAAGCAGATCTGGAGAAAAAGGATTGCAATGGTCACACAGTTCTCTCTTATGTTGCATTTCAGGGAAGAACAAACTTAGCAAAATTCCTAGTCCTACTGAATCGAGATTTGCTTACCATTGTAGACAATGCAGGCAATATCCCGCTTACTAGGGCATGTGGTTTTGGCCATAAGGAGATGGCATACTACCTTTACGAAGTAACCCCTTGTGATTTATTGGAACCGGGAAAAGAAGGCAATCATGGATTCCATCTCATGCGCTGCTGTATTGCTAATAAAATGTTCGGTGAGAATAATAAAACTTTTATATGTTAATTTCTTTATTTTAAAATAATTATTTTTTTAATTTTAAAGTTATTATAAATTAATTGTTTTTTTATTTTTCAAATCAGTAACTATTTTTTCTATACTTTAATTTTGTTGTTATTTATTTATTTTAATTAATTATTTTATCATAAAAAAATTTCACTTTATTTTTTAATTTCATTTTAAAGATAATATAAATAATTATATAAATAACTTCTAAATTTTTAATTAAAAAAGAAGAAGAGAAATGATAGTTATCATGGGACAAAAAGAGTACTATTTTTACTGTGTTAGTGTGAATTTAAGATATAAGCGGTGAGGAGTAACTTGTTTGGTCTTTCTTCCTCGTATTGAAAAACTAGATATTTGTTGGGATCTAATCGAAAAATATCCAAGTTTGGCTGTTGACATCAATACACAGGAAGAGTCTCCTATTCTTATGTTGTCCCGTCAACCTTCGGCCTTTTACAGTGGGACCAAGCTTTCGCTTTGGCAACGGTTGATTTATCATTGTAAGTTTTTTTTTTATTTTTTATTTTTTTTTAATCTTAAAAAAAAAAACAAAAGGGGTATTAGTATTTTTTTTATTAAGCTTAATTAGTATTATAGCCACTTTAGTTAAATAAATTTTTAATTGAATTAATAAAATAAAAAAAATAATTTAGAATATTGGCTAGTTTGAAATTAATTGAAATTTACCCATCTTTAGTGATGAAAAAAGATAGGGAGAGAAAAAGAGAAAATTTTAATTGTTGTTTATTAAATTCAATAATTATATAATTAATATTAATGAAAAATAATATTTTAACTATTACACCGAAAAAGGGTATTATGAACATCTCCTATAAAATTTTGATTTAATTAATTCTAGCATTTCAAACTTATTAAAATTAGACTTTCATCAAATAAGAATAGAAAGTCTAATGAAACTCACAATATTAAGTGATTTTCTCAAGAAATAATAGAAGGGTAATCCAAACCATTACATCAACTAAGTACAGCATTATTGAAGACATATTGTAGTATATCTGTAAGTAACGTACTCAACACCAATATTCCCAATTGTATGTAATTAACTTTTAAATTTTGATGTGTGGCTATTGATCCAATTAATGTTTTGAAGGCTTAAAGGTGGAGTTACCAACAATACCCACCACTCCGACCAAAGACATACAACTTGATGTTGCTGACCAAGGCTACGTCGTCGAAAGGAACATTGGGAAACGAGGTATGTACCATATATTAATTTCTCAAATTTTGATACAAATATCAGTCTCTTGTTTGAGAGCAGAAAATTGAGCTTATACAAGTGCATGGATTTCAGATTTATTTTATGTAATTATAACAGGGGTTAATTAACATTGTTGTAGTATTTAACGGACTTCGTGGATTGGGTTTAAAGGTGCAAGAGTTCTTTGGTAATTTCCCCTCAACTACTTATTTATTTTACAATTTTAGCATTTCTACTTGTAAATCTTCTGCTCTACTAATTTTTATATATGAGATTGATTCTTGACTTGATATTTGAAGGAATCAAACAAATTTATGATTTGAAGTTGAGGCATCGCTATGCATGTGAGGTTCTTCACTGCATGTGTAATCATGTTTCAGCTTTCGAACTGACTCATCAGCATGATGATTATGGAGTGGGTGCTCTACTATTTGAAGCTACCAAGCATGGAATAGTTGAATTTGTAATTGAGCTCTGTAAAGCCAACCCATCATTTGGTTTTAAAACTAATAATGATGGCAGACTCGCTTTCATGGTTGCAGTCCAACATCGTCAAGAAAAAGTTTTTAACCTCATTTATGGTGCTAATGAGGCATGGAAGGCTGAAAATCTTAATAAATTAGATAAAGATGGGAACAATATTTTACATATGGCAGGGGCGTTGGCTCCTGATTTTAAAAGTGTTGGAATCTGTAGTCCCGCATTACAGATGCAAAAAGAACTCCAATGGTTTAAGGTGATCATCTCTCCCTTGCTACCTAATAATAGCATTGATAAAGTTGTTTAACACTATAATAATTTTTTAAAATTTCTTTTTGTATATATGTGAAGTCAGATTTCAGTACAAAATCAAAAGTTTATATCATACACTGTGTACTTAAAAAAAAAAAAAGTTTAAGAACCAAAACTTAATTCTAATTAAAAATATTAACATCTAGTTTTGTGAAATGGATGGTAGGAGGTGGAAAGAATTGTTCCAGAATGGTGCAAAGAAGCTAAAAATAATAATGGTGATACCCCCAAGGATGTGTTTACCGAGAGCCACAAGGCATTGGTGAAAGATGGGGCGAGATGGATGACGGAGACAGCAAGTTCTTTTATTATTCTCAGTATTCTCCTTGTAACCATCATGTTTGCAGTATCTTTTACTGTTCCAGGCGGCGACAATCAGAATAATGGGTTACCCATACTCTTAGGCAAAAAATTATTTAAGATATTTATAATAACCGATGCAATATCATTCTTTGCCGCATCTACTTCAGGTTTAATATTTTTGGGAATCCTAACGTCACGCAAAGCTGAAGAAGATTTTCTTTTGTCCTTACCTCGGAAGTTGATGATCGGCCTTATCACTCTCTTTATTTCCATTGCAACAATGATGGCTAGCTTTTCTGCTGCTCTTTTGATCATGCTACAAGTTCAACTGTGGGCATTAATTCTCATAACTTTGGCGGCTGTCATTCCAACCATGGTTTTTGGATGGTTGCAGTTTCCCCTCATTTGTGAAATTATTGTCTCAACATGTTCTCAGGGAATCTTTAACAGAAAAATGAAGCCTTGGCTGGTTAATTTACAATAAAGTTGAAACATATTTTGTGATGTAGGTTGAGCAGTTTCCACTCCAGGTTGAAATTCTATTAGCTTGTTTGGTTAGCTGTATTTGAACTCTCAATTTCCCTATTTTATTTGGTTGTATTTTAACATTTCTTGGTTTTTGTGAGACTGTGATATGAATATATGTACCTTCCTTCGTGTAAAACACTATATATATAATATGATCATGTTTGGTTGTATTTTCAGATTTCTAGTGCTTTGGAATAAGCCGATTCTCTATTCCTTGATTTTTCACTGGTGTTGAACCGGCTGTTTTGGTTGGCTACATATATGGTTTTAGTCAAAGTAGCTGAAATACCGGATCGACGTTTGTAACTTGATTAACTTGATTTTCTTTTTTTTTTTTTCTTTTTTGGAAACAAGAAAAAGATAAATTTTATAATTATTTCCTTGCTAGTTTGACTTTTTAACTTTTAAATAAAAAATTTAGATCATAATTAAATATAATGTATAAATGATAAGTAAAAAAATTTTTTTTATCAAGTAAAACCACTAAATTAATATATTTGTTGAATATATAGAATCTTTTGGATTTGTTTTTTGAGTTTTGATTTGAAGAGATATGAACTTAAATTTGTTGATTAAATTTTATTTAAATATAAGCTTATTATGAATTTGAATTTGACTTCGATTTCAATCTCAGTTTTTATGTCTAAGAATTCCAGAATGGGATGAAGAGCAATAGGGCCATCTCTGTTTGCAAGAACAAAATTGGTTTTTTTTTTTTTTGGTTTTTTTTTAAAGTTATATAAGAGTAAATAATTTTTTTTATTTTTAAATTCTTTTTTACTTTATTCAAATTTAAAATTTAAAATTTTCAACTTAAAATTTCAAATTATTAACTAATGAACGGCACCATTAAAGTTTTGAAAAACAAATTGTAAATGATTTTTTTTTTTTATTTCGTTTTTGGCTTAATTAAAGTTAATTTAGAGTAATCTTATAGTCAAAAAATGCCAAACAGATCTACAGAGGTCCGATTCATAACTTGGGTTACGCCCGATCCGACCTTGGGATTCACCGATCTGTGCCTTGGTCTAATCCATTACGATGAGAGAGGAAGCGAGAGGAAGAGAGGTGAGGAAGATGAAGAAGGATATATTTGTCTTTTTAGTTTTTGTAGAATTATACAGTTTTTTTTTTCTTGTAATTTGCTTTAGTAGGTCCAATTTCACACATCGTCATTTTTTATCTAAATCAGCATTAGTTTTTTAAGTTATTTTCCATTTCAGCAAATTAACTTATATTTAAAGTGGGTGATGTTATAGGGACAATTTTTTTATACCATATTTTCATACAATTTTAATATGTCATTAAATGAGTTGATATATTCAATATCACGGATTTTACATAAATTAAAAAAATTAATTATTTTAATAACATATCAAATTATATAAAAAAATAAGATAAAAAAATTGTACAAAAGTCACTTCCCATTTAAAACAGATTTGATGAAGAAAAGGTGCCATGTCAGTACATAACGGACGAAGGACAAAAACACCAAAAAAAAAACTTTAAGGATAAAAAATAATGACCTTTTCAAGTTTAGAGCCAAAATTGAGAGTCCATTGAGGACTAAACAGAGTTTAACCAAGTAAATAAAAACTATTTATAGAATAAAAATTTTCAGTTAATATTCAGTTTTACTAGTGTAGCTTCATGCAAAACTAGACCCGAGTATTCAATCAAAAAAAAAAAAAAAAAAAAAAAAAAAAAAACTAGACCCGAGTAAGACAATGTGTAAGCTAAATATTGCCTACTGGATCTGGGGCAACTTTCCCTTCTGTCATGAAGGACTTTGCAGTGTTGTGCAATTTTTTCTTCACCAGATAATCGTATATGTACACACATCCAGCTTACCAACAATAAAAAAAAAGAAGGAAAGATCAATAAAACCTCAAATTATCATAAAATTACTAAAACAACAAGATAAACAAACAAAAAAACATCAGCAAACAGTATCGGATACATCTTGTCTGCTTCCCAATTGCTCTGCGCCATGGTTTCAACTCCAAAAATAACCAATCAACCAACGGCTCAGAACACAATTTCGCAATGTAAAAAACAAAAATTCAAATTAGAAATAATCCGATAAAATTGAGTAAGTACATATTGCAACCACATTGAGAAGAACAAGCATTAAAGCGAATACTTCAGATGGATCAAAGCCGGCATTACCGTTGTTGAACTCCGGAAAGCTGCGATCTTTATTGATCAAGCATTGTATCTTCATTCGAAAAGAAAATTGAAAATAAAATTCAATCAAAATTCAGAAAAATCTTGAAATTCATGCAATTAGACTAGTTAAGAAGGCGACATCTGGATTAGAAATGACTTGTTCAAACACAGGAATGGGAATTAGGGTTTTCAGAGAAAGATTGAATTCTGCAGCTTCAACACCTGGGACAGCTCGGATGGTATCAACAAGGGAAGAGAGTTTGAATAAGCTATAATGTTTTGGTTCGGGAGACGAGGCTGAGGTTCGGAATCCAGAGCTGAGTTCGAGGTTCAGTGAACAAAGGCAGAGCCGCAGAGGTTTGATTCTCTTGGGCTTGGGTTCAACGAGTTTATTAGAGACTGGACTGAGTGGGCCGTTAAAAGACGGTGGCATCTGGTCCAGCCCAATCCTTTTTTAGGCCAGCAAACATAAATATCCGGCCTACTCCAGTTACTCGTTTTATTTTATCAATTTCCCGACAGACCACTAGTGGGACCCATGAGATGCCAACTTCCCGCTGACGTGGTTTTGCCTCCTTATAATTGAGTGCTATGGTTATCGCCATTCCTGTTTAAATATGACCGTAAACATAGCCACAACTGTCAACTGACGAGGGAAAAAATAATTTTATTTGTCCCGGAAAAAGCTTATTTTATGTTTAGCATTTTAGGTTCTTTTTTTTTCTCTTTTCGTATTTCCTATTTTATTTTTCCAACAATTTAAAACGCCAATGGTTGTTCACCTCACAAGATATAAGTATTCGTTAATCATCTTTAAATTTAATTTAGTAAAATAATATTAAGAAATATGTATTCTCAATTCTTGAGGAAGCTTATTAATTTTATCAAAATAATTTGATTAAGCAACTATTACCTCCAGTAATTTAATTAAAGAATAACCATTTCTTCCAAGTTTCAGCTAAATTCTATGATGCGGTGTTTTCGGACATGGGAAGGGAATAAATACTTCTAGGGAGTATATGATGCCAGAAAATTTAGGACCCTTAACAGTGAAGAGTAATCTCTGCATCGAATGATTCCACAAGCACTAGGATGCAAGAAAATCTAAATTGGAAATTTATTCAAAGATAATCTCTTTTATATAATTTTAAATGTCATTTAAATGATTTATTTTTTTATTTACTTGAGACTTTTGATATAAATTTATATTTTCATTTAATAACATGTAAAAATCATATAAAAATATTATTTTTATATCATTACCCATCTAAATTTGAACTTGATTTTATTCTTTGATCAATTTTTAATTAACTATCACCATTTTTTAACACTTTTCTGCAAATGATGACTTAGTGGGAATATCATTTCTGTAGAAGAATGTCTCTGGTGAGAGTTATGTGGAACATAAAAAGCGAGAATAAAAAAATTAAAGATGATTTGTGAGACCACTTGAATACCTATGATACATTTGGCAGCTCTTTATTTATCCACATGGCTCGTGTGAATAGCTGATTGCCTAGTTCCCACTACAGAAAGGCTCTTGTAAAATACGTAATAGAGCTACATCTATGGAGCTCTTGGGTTCTCAGTTGACGAGCTATCCCAGCCAGGACTTGCAATGTTGGTGAGCTACTCCAAGTATAGTTATGACACTAAATTAGTCACCAAGGCAAAGATAGAGACAAGGTA